GTGCACCAAATCTCCCAAATCAACACCGCCACTTTCCCCTCTCAGGGCAAACGTACTATGTGGTGCTGCTCATGGCTGTGGGGAAAACACTTTAAAAAAATGAAGTACGTGAAGCTAACAAATCGAACGAGATTGACTGATAAACATTTGAAAGCAATAGGCAATTCTCTTGATTGGACGCAGCTATTGCAACCCAATATCGATGATATCTCGAAAGCCAAACGTCAGTTTCCCAAATCTCACTAAACTTTTTTTGCTGCATACTTTGTGAGATCCGGACAAGTGCGCACTTGTTCTGATGTAACTGACTTTTTGCTACCGTCGCCTTCTCTGATATTTTTTGTAGTAAATAACTTATATACTAGTGTTCAGTGAGATCTACTATTTTGATTTTATTGGGTTTCAATTCAATATGGTATTTGTGGAATATATTAAGTGTTTATTATTTTCCTTATAGTGACATATTTTTTATCTAGCATAGAATCACATGCCTTAGGTCTTCATCCTTGTCAAGTGATTTGAAAATTATGCATTGTAATTTTTATTTTAATATATGATTAGCAATTATGTTATTTTTGTGTGTTTTAAATGTGGGTTTTCCCCAGAGGATGAACTTGGGGTAACAAAACAATTTTTTAGGTTAAAACAGTAAAGGATTATTTTTTTTTCCCTCCAGTGTTCAAGATTCTACCCTGAAAATAGGAGGCCAAAAATGGACAAAATGTATATATTATTTTTCTTATATTAGCGACATATTTTTTATCTAGCATAGAATCACATGCCTAAGGTTTTCAACATTGCCAAGTGATTTGAAAATTGAGTATTGTAATTTTTATTATAATATATGATTAGCTATTAATTAGTTAGAGAAATTATGTCATTTTTATGTGCTCTATATGTGGGTTTACCCCGGGGGGGGGGGTGAACTTGGGGTAACAAAACAACTTTTAGGTTTAAACAGTAAAGGAGTATATTTTTTTTCTCCAGTTTTCAAGATTCTACCCTGAAAATAGGAGGCCAAAAAAGTCAGGACATCTGGTGGATGTGCTAATAATTTATCAGCATCGACGAAAGAAATACAAGGTGTTATGTAGCATACATTTCCCGTGCTTGAATTTTACTTGATCTCAATTAGAATCCTAGCAGACAGTAACGTCTGTTGTGGGCGTGGCCTATTCCTTTGATGTATCTTGTTTACTATCGGCTTCAAATTACACATTAAGTAGTATGTATCCTTGTAGTTTCTGGAATGTGCTCGATAACCCGAGAAATGTAAACAACACATCATAAGTCGTTTCTGGAATGCAGGGCTTACGCGACCTATATAAGGGATTGACAGGCACGGACGGACAGATGGAGATTGAGATAGAAATTATTAACTTTACGAGAGTTGTATAATTTTCTGTGTATGTGTGTGCTCATATGTGTTTATTTCACATTTCATCATTATTCAATGGCACACTATTCTAACTGTGTTAACTGTGTACCGTACAAGATCTACCATACTGAAAGTTGAAGATTGTCATTATATTTTATTTTATTTTGTAATTATATTAAGACTTAATAAATCTTATTAATTGTAACTAGAAACTGTTTTGGGTGTCGTATCTTTAATACTATTGGCTCTATGGTATCGTCCTTTGCTAGGCACTGGTTACAACGAGTCAATTAAAATTAAAATAGGATATTAATTTCTCATATTAGAAGCCAGTGCATAACTCAAGGGATGATAGTCAAAATGGATTGATTTGCTTTAAATTTAATTTTATTTGACTCCTATATTTCTAATGTTGCACAATTTTTTTCTCTTTTTAAAGTGGTCCACTTAGGTTTTCCATTTATCTCTGACGTCAAATTCGTTATGAGGAAAATTATTATTACCACGTGCTTAAAAAATTTCCAAGTTTGTTTCTATTATATTATCGACATAATGTTTGATGTATTTTTTTATTACATGTCTCATAAACAAAATTCAGAAGTTTTTAATGATCTTATTATTTTTATTAGGCTTGAGGCTAGTGGATTGGTGGGGAAATGCATTCATTTATATTCTATCAATTATATCTATGTACTTAAATTGTTTTTTTTAAGTAACAAGGTTAATGTGTTTATGATGTATGCATCCAACGTTGTTTTAAAAAAAATAAAAAATTATACTTCTTTTTCATTTTTTTTTTTCAATTTTGCGTTTTCCAGATTTTTTAGGAACACCAGGAATCAGGAGGAAAAGTATTCTAGCTACAGCCTTCTTTACGAAATTCAAGAGGCTTTTTTATATATATCCAACTAGAAAAGTTGAAAACATTTTTACTTTTACATTTGCTTCTCCTATAAAGTTCTCAAATATTTATGTGACCCCCACATACATGCCATTTGTAACACTTCCAATAACTGCTGTGTAATGAGCTTCTTTAAACTTTAAAAAAAAAAATTATTCTTAATGTGTATGCCAAGTTTCATTATAATATTGCAATACAACTTTTTCTTTATTCATTTTGCGTAAAAGTCAAAATTGGTAAAAAAAAATATTTTTTTTTTCAATGAAAGTCACAACAAATTTTTTTAAAATAAACTTTAGTGGTTTCTTTTGTCTTTATGTTTGTGTTTGGTTTGTATGGACACTTTAAAAAAAAAAAAGAGAAACAGAAGAAAAACATTTGTCCCATGGACCACCTTAATTGAGCTTAAATGGACTTTTTTCACCTTTTTAATAGTTTGTAAAATTCTGCTTCGGATAATTATTGTTTGTAATCAATGTGTATTTACATTCTCGTGACAACACCTAAAAAAGATTGTATTTGTTTCTCAATGTTATATCACACTGGTTGTGTGAGCAAAAGATTTGAAAGTTCCAAATAAGTTATTTTAGAAGAAAGAGGGTATCAAAACTACACTAATGAGTAGTACATGTCATCTATAGGTGTCAATTTAAATATTCAGGCTTGGATACTGAACTTTTTAACAACTCGACCACAATATGTCAAAGTAAATAACCAAGTATCTCTAACCAGAGAAATAAGCACAGGGGCACCACAAGGCTGCGTTATCTCTCCAGTACTGTATACCATATATACCTGCTGGTGTGGGAATTCAACGTCTGATATTAAACACCGCATAAACCGACTAATCAAGAAAGCTGGGAACATAACACATACTAAACATCCTTCACTTGAAGAACTATTTGAAGAAAGATTTTTTTGCAAAACTAAACACATTTTGGATAATACATCCCACGCTCTTCATCCTAGATAATTTGGATCGGGCCGTTCGGAACGAATTCTTTCCATCAGGGCGAGGACTGAGCAATCCTGCAGGGCACAACGAGAGGAGGGAGAAGAAGAGGAAGACGGAGAAAAAGATGGCAAGATAACATCAAAGAGTGGACGGGATTAAAACTAGGCGATGCTGCGCGAAGTGTGCAGAAGACAGAGAGGAATGGAGGAGGATAGTTCACATGTCATCTGTGGCGCCCCAACGGTCCAAGGACTAAGGGACATGAGGATAGTTCACATGTCATCTGTGGCGCCCCAACGGTCCAAGGACTAAGGGACATGAGGATAGTTCACATGTCATCTGTGGCGCCCCAACGGTCCAAGGACTTTCCCTGTACTCCTATCAAGTGTAGTCATCTGTGGCGCCCCAACGGTCCAAGGACTAACGGACATGAGGATAGTTCACATGTCATCTGTGGCGCCCCAACGGTCCAAGGACTAACGGACATGATGATGATGATATTTGCTCGTTAAAAATATTTGGAAATTGTTAACTTGCGCGTCATAGATTTTTAATCTCAATAAGCTACGAAATTGTACAAACCATATTTTAGTGCAAAACAAAACAGCATTGGTGCTTCCATATTAAACGTCTTTTATGTCGCTCATCACAAAGTTTAGCAATCTTCCTGTCCACCATCGAATACAACAATAACATCTGAAGGGTTTTTTTTTTTTTTAAATTGTTCATCACTTGTGGACTAATGAAATAACAAACGGAGAGATATATGACCAGAAAGCTGTACATCATTTTAAAAAGCAAGGTTTTCCCAAAAAATTTAAACAAAAAACAATTAAACTAAACGGTGTTATAAAAAGTTTGAACCATGTTCATGGCCATCAACAATGGCGTGACGAACAAGAGGAACTCACCACTGGTTTATTTCACGTTTGTATTGGGCTGCCTGGTCATGGTTCTGCTCCTGGTCAATGTCTACTTCTTCATGCTCTTGGGGATTGGACATGCCAGCAATGCTCCAGATAAGCCAGATGAATCAGAGAAGAAGGTCACGACACGACCGGTAATTTTAATCATTGTCACGAACTCTGGCGTCATTTGAATCAATCTATTAGGTGAATGACTTAGCACAACAACAACAACAACAACAACAACATAAACATAAACAAAGACTGAAGTTTAATCTTAAGATAAACAGATTTTGTTCCATGGAACATTCTATCGTCCGTCATTTCTTAAACTATTTCTATTAAACAACATAAAGAATGATCCCACCAACGCTGCCCTCTGACCCCCACCTGGTTGGAACTGTGCACCCCCACCCTCCACCCCACACAAGAGCACACAGTTTTTGTTAAGTCATTTCGCCCTCAAATGGGATATATAGAAAATTACGAATAGCTTATTTAGAACTTTGTCAATAGTTATGCGATTAGTATAAAATACATATTAATTTGGTTTCTATGAGGCAGTATAATATAAGTTTACTTTAATGTATTGAAACATTTCACACATAAACATTTCATTTGTCTAGAAACAAATATGTGACGTTAGACTCCTCAACTTGGACCATCATTAAGTTTCAATTATTAAAGTGAATCGCATTTTTTTTAAAACATCATAAATACGTTCCATAATTGCTATTGGTTTATAGTTTTATCAGAAATGTAACATCACAAACAACAGCGTCCCTAACACGTTCTCTCGGGAAAGCATTTCACTTGTACAATAAATATTGTCTTCTCTGCATTGTCCTCCCCCCCCCCCAAATCCCCCAGGTGTGCACCACCAAAGAGTGCGTCGAGATAAGCGCCACCATCTTAGGGAAGATCGATTGGTCAGCGAATCCCTGCGTGGACATGTACCAATTTGCATGTGGTCAATATAACTCCAAGGAATCAACGGAGTGGCTCATTCTATTTTTAGAAATTTCCCTCAGGCGTTTCAATGAGGATGTGTCAAAGGTCAAGTATCTTTAACCGAATTGATTCTAACCACCCCCGATAGCCATCCATAGGATCCGGTCATTATAGTTTTAAATATAAGTGCAGTTAAGTAAAATTTGGATTTAAGATGTCTAATTTTTCAAAAATTCAACGCACGTATTCGACATTGGGTTGATGGTGCCGGCACAGAGAACCATAGAACCTCCGTTTGAGACATTCCATTTCTCTTTAACTGTGTTCTGCATTAACGTAGCCCGGGGGGAGGGGGGAGGGGGAGGTTCGGCGGGCATGGGTTCGGGCGCAGACCGCACACAGTTTAGAGAACCACGTTTAAAGACTTTATTTAGGTAATTTGTAAATTGAAAAACTGACCACAGATCCCTTGAACGCCTGTCTGTTTAACCTAGAGCAGGCCTGCAAAACATACGGCACGCCTTACATTTTAAGTTGTGGAGCCCTGTTTCAGAGGGACAAGATTAACTTTAAAGCACGTCCCGTTACTTTTTCCAATCTCTCAAACCCATTATTTTCAACCCCAAAGTCATATCAACGAACATTTTAGCGCCCCTAACTAGCCTGGCGCCCTGGTACATATCTCCCTCGCTATGCCCCCCCCCCTGTTAGCCACGCCTCTGGTTTAATCTTCAAATACATTGCATGCGGACAGAACCTAAACATTGTAAGACTCAACTTTAGAATATAAAGAGCGGACTGTATAAGCCGGTACATTTTGCGATATCTTTATACAGACTATTTTATATTTGGATATTACGAGCTACATTAAACAGAGATGCAGATGCGTAGCTAGGGTGTTTGGCGCCCCGGGGACAAGATTCATTTTAAAGCGCCTCCATTTCTTTTTGTCCACGCTCAAACCCATTATTTTCGTCAATAAAATAATATCAAAGCACATTTTTGGCGCCGCTAACTTGTCAGGCGTCCAGGGACATATGTCCCCCCCCCTCACTGCCACCCGTAGCTGCGCCTCTGCAGACACGTGCCGTTTTTACATGGCTTACTCGGCATATGATAAAAATAGTTGATATAAGAGTGTATGTAAAGAGTTGTTTTATCATCTTTATTTAATACAAGAAAATATGACCTAATGTTATCGAGCTAATAATGGGAGGCAGTTTGCGACAATTTCCACCTTCTATTGTGAAAACTCACCCCAATTCCGTATTTTTTTTTTAAAAAGTACCTATGCAATGATGTTACGTTCCTAACATCATTAAAAGTTTTAAGAACTATTTTTCTGCAAATATTATTCGCCTACTTTAACCTTTTTCGCGCCACTAAACTAAAATTATTATTTTTTCTCTATAAACATGACCGTAAATTGCCAAATCTAAATGATCATTAATTAAATCATTATTGTCGCTAAATGAGTTCATTGACGGCTGATTTCTACGCTAGAGAAATACGTTAGATATCATGCGTCATAAAATTGTAAGATGTTGGGCCTACACTTGCACTTTTCGTGACCATAAACTAATTTTGTTCTCTAAAAATTGTGAAAACTTATTCCTAAATGTAAAGCAAAAACTTTATATACCATTTTTAATAAATTTGACATTAACTGAATTTGACATAAAGATATCTGCATTAAAAATTGACCAAAATTTTGCCTTTGTTTCATACTATATTATCATAAAGTCCTATAACAAAGAGAAATTGTTTCGGAAGAATAATCTCCTGACCGTTTTTTTCCCGTCTGTCACAGCCTTCGGTGTATTTTTTGACAGAAATTTTTATTAATCTCATAAAAATAGACACCCACTTTACTTTTCGCAAAGTATTATTTTTAAAAAAACAAAACAAAAAAACATCTTTATTTTTTAAAATTAAATTTTCACTTGTTAAAAATAATTGGGTTTTTATATTCAGGTTTATACTTCTATAAATGTTGTACCCACGTTTTGTTAACGCCATTGATTGTCTTAGTTTTTAAACATGTGTTTGTTTGTAAAAAGATAATACAACACCTCTTTTTCACAACTGTAATATCATTGGACTGATCCACGTGAATATATGTACACACCCTATTTCCTACCCCCCCCCCGATATGTATGTACCTATGACGGTTCATTATCTATCAAATCCATTCCTTTATCTTGAAACGTATCTAGTGCTGCTTGGACACAAAAATGAAAGCATCGACCCTCCCTCCAAAGATCTTAATAAACATTAATAAAATCATCCAACATGATTGTAGCAGCGAGATAGGCAAACAAACATATTTTGCACTTCATATGGTTTGTTCTTATTAGGATGAGTGGTAAGTGCATTACTGAATGCTATTGGGCCATGGAGTTTCTCTGCACTGATTATCTTAAACGGCATGATATTCTTATAAAGAATATTATTAAATGTAAAGTTTTTTATTACGTTATAAATTTAATTAAAGTACATTTTTGGAAAGAAATAAAAAGTAATAACCTATTAAATGTTAAAAGTACAAAGCTTAAATTTTGTGTGTTTTTATTAACAATTTAAAAAGAAATCATTCATATTTATTAATGTTACTTTTAAGAAGGGGAAAATGTATTATCAGTTTTGTCACGCGCGGCTATTAAATCAAAGACATTTAGAGCTTGGGCTAAAATAGGCCATTCGCGATAGGACGTCATTAAAACAAACTAATTTAAATTTTATTTCGCACTAAAATACGCACTAAAAGAGACAAATGTTTGTGTTTTCCCGATACAATGTGATTACGATGTAACTCTTTGATCACAATACTTCAATTAATTTTTGTGTAACTGTCAAACTCCAAATTTCTATAAATTTGCTTCTTGAAACACCATTTGTATTATTAAAACTTAAATTGTTTTGCTCAGCAATGTCATAGACAGATGGCATTAAACGGGAGGTGGTGGGGGCGCAAATTTTAGGATTTGGCCCCCGGGCGCACAATATCATAGCTACACCTCGGACACCCAGGCGCAGCCTTTCCTACGCACAGCCTTAGAATCACACGTAATAATTATGACATAATCGGTCATGGAAAATTGTTCTAGAATTTTTTTTTGTAAGTTGTGAAGAGGTGTTAAGGTGTGGTTCATGGCCTTTAATTTTTTTATTTTTTATTTTGGTGAGCTTTTAGTTGTTGTTTTTTCACCCCTCCATTAGTGTTTAAACCTGGGAATGCTATTGTTCACGTAGCGTGTAGACCAGGGGCTCCTCGACAAGTAGTTGTGTATTCTTCTAGCAACTTAAATAATACATTAAAATTAATGCGACCTTGAAATAGTGTTTTTATATTCGTAACACAAGAATAAATGACCCGATGTTGTCGGGGAATTAATGGCGGCCACTTTGCGATAATTTTCACCTGCGATGGAGAAACCCCATCGAAATTTCGTCTTTTAAAAATAAATATCTATGTAAATAGTGTTTAAGTTTCCAACATCATTAATTAAATGTTATACGCCTACCTTTTCCGTTTTCGCGCCCCCTAAACTGCCATTATTATTCCGATAACGTCGGATCATATCTTCTAGTGGTGCAATAAAATCTGATAAATTTTATTTTTAGCACATTTATATGTATTCGAGTTCCATAAAATAATAGAAATTCCCTATAATTGTTTTTAAGACTCCCAATGTATTTAAAGCAATTCGTTTCTTTAGCGCTATTTTAAATTATATTATATTTTTATCATTTTTTATGTGTCTGTGGGTAGAGGCCTCTAAAGGTTGTTGCGAGAAAGGTGTTCAATCAAGTGGGTTAGACAAGCGAGAGGCGTTGAACACAAATTAAGAACGTGAATGTGGCGTTTATATATCGGGCTTAACTTCCGGAACATGTTTTGTGTCCTAATCGGGCTTAACTTCCGGAACATGTTTTGTGTCCTAATCGGGCTTAACTTCCGGAACATGTTTTGTGTCCTAATCGGGCTTAACTTCCAGAACATGTTTTGTGTCCTAATCGGGCTTAACTTCCGGAACATGTTTTGTGTCCTAATCGGGCTTAACTTCCGGAACATGTTTTGTGTCCTAATCGGGCTTAACTTCCGGAACATGATTTGTGTCCTCATTGGGCTTAACTTCCGGAACATGATTTGTGTCCTCATCGGGCTTAACTTCCGGAACATGATTTGTGTCCTAATCGGGCTTAACTTCCGGAACATGTTTTGTGTCCTAATCGGGCTTAACTTCCGGAACATGATTTGTGTCCTCATCGGGCTTAACTTCCGGAACATGCTTTGTGTCCTCATTGGGCTTAACTTCCAGAACATGCTTTGTGTCCTCATTGGGCTTAACTTCAGGAACATGCTTTGTGTCCTCATTGGGCTTAACTTCTGGAACATGCTTTGTGTCCTCATTGGGCTTAACTTCCGGAACATGCTCTGTGTCCTCATTGGGCTTAACTTCCAGAACATGCTCTGTGTCCTCATTGGGCTTAACTTCTGGAAGATGATTTGTGTCCTCATTGGGCTTAACTTCCGGAACATGCTCTGTGTCCTCATTGGGCTTAACTTCAGGAACATGCTTTGTGTCCTCATTGGGCTTAACTTCAGGAACATGCTTTGTGTCCTCATTGGGCTTAACTTCTGGAACATGCTTTGTGTCCTCATTGGGCTTAACTTCCGGAACATGCTCTGTGTCCTCATTGGGCTTAACTTCCAGAACATGCTCTGTGTCCTCATTGGGCTTAACTTCCGGAAGATGATTTGTGTCCTCATTTGGCTTAACTTCCGGAACATGCTCTGTGTCCTCATTGGGCTTAACTTCCGGAACATGATTTGTGTCCTCATTGGGCTTAACTTCCGGAACATGCTGTGTGTCCTCATTGGGCTTAACTTCCGGAACATGCTGTGTGTCCTCATTGGGCTTAACTTCCGAAACATGATTTGTGTCCTCATTGGGCTTAACTTCCGGAAGATGCTTTGTGTCTTCATTGGGCTTAACTTCCGGAACATGCTTTGTGTCCTCATTGGGCTTAACTTCCGGAACATGCTTTGTGGCTTAATATTTTTTAATTATGTTTTGTGTCCCCCCCCCCCTTTTTCCCCAAACCTTATTCACAGCCAACTTCACCCGCATAGTTTGCGAAAGGTTTTTATGGGTTCCTTCGTCGGTTAGAAGTGTTGGATAAAATTATAGTAAATATTTTAAGACCACTCTCTTTTTTAAAAATAATTAGTGTATTACTAGTTGTATGCTTGTACTAGCTTGAAATTTCCATAAAAGTGTATTTTAAAGGCTTTTTATTTGACCAAAAAATAATTTAAAAGTATTTTAACTTTCTGAACTAATTATTAAACTTAACTTCGTGATTAAAATGAGATATACTTTTTGTTTTAAATTTGCCTTCTTGGTGTTTCAATGAACAACTTTCTTTTTATTCGGGTCTTCGTATAGATCTTATCATCCAATGATACCCGTTTGTATGGCAGAGAATCGAGTGCCCTGGCTAAGATGAAAAAGTATCACCGATTATGTACAGATGAAGAACGTATTAGTCTTAATTTCAAGTCCAAAATCTTGCAGGTACGTAAAAATAGAAAGGGCTATTTTTTCCACGTTCTCCTAAAACAGCAAACGTGCTTTCTCCAGAAGGACCATGCCCAGCCGTCTGTCACAGAACATGATATGGTGACAGAGACAACGTGTTGCAATGTGGTTGACAGGCGCTTTACATACTCAGTCCTAAAACCCTTACATACTCAGCCCTAAAACACTTATATACTCAGCCCTAAAACCCTTACATACTCAGCCCTAAAACCCTTACATACTCAGCCCAAAAAGCCTTACATACTCAGTCCTAAGACCCTTACATACTCAGCACTAAAACCCTTACATACTCAGCCCAAAAAGCCTTACATACTCAGTCCTAAAACCCTTACATACTCAGCCCTAAAAACCTTACATACTTAGTCCTAAAAACCTTACATACTCAGCCCTAAAACCATTACATACTCAGTACTAAAACCCTTACATACTCAGTCCTAAAACCTTTACGTACTCAGCCCTAAAACCCTTACATACTCAGTCCTAAAACCCTTACATACTCAGCCCTAAAGCTCTTACATACTCAGCTTTAAAACCCTTACATACTCAGCCCTAAAACCCTTACATACTCAGCCCTAAAACCCTTACATACTCAGTCCTAAAACCCTTACATACTCAGCCCTATAGCCCTTACATACTCAGCTTTAAAACCCTTACATACTCAGCCCTAAAACCCTTACATACTCAGCCCAAAAAGCCTTACATACTCAGTCCTAAAACCCATACATACTCAGCCCTAAAACCCTTACATACTCAGCCCAAAAAGCCTTACATACTCAGTCCTAAAACCCTTACATACTCAGCCTTAAATCCCTTACATACTCAGCTTTAAAACCCTTACATACTCAGCCTTACATACTCAGCCCTAAAACCCTTACATACTCAGCCGCTAAAGCCCTTATATACTCAGCCCTAAAACCCTTACATACTCAGCCCTAAAACCCTTACATACTCAGCCCTAAAACCCTTACATATTCAGCCCTATAAGCATTTCATACTCAGCCCTAAACCCTTACATACTCAGCCCTAAAACCCTTACATACTCAGCCCTAAAACCCTTACAAATTCAGCCCTATAAGCATTTCATACTCAGCCCTAAACCCTCACATACTCAGCCCAAAAGCTATTACATACTCAGCCCTAAAACCCTTACAAAATCAGCCATAAAACCCTTACACGCTCAGCCCTGTGTCGGATTATTGTGTCCAAAGAAACACAGATAAAATTTGAGAGTCCATAACACCTTTCCCCCTTAGTCCTTGCAGTCGTGATGTGTTTTAAGTTTCAAGTAACAAAACAAGCGTTGAGCAGATGTATTGTCATTTACTTGCTTCATAGTGTAGAGGGTTCGGCATTGGAGTTGCAGGGGTGGTGGGGGAACCCACAGCCTGGGCGCAGGTAGCGGTCAACGTGACAATAGGGAGGCAGTGGTCGACTTTGGCCTGGGTAAGGCACAGCCCGGGAACCAAGCCGACAAAGGGGTACATCGCAAAGGGACAGTGGGTATCGCGAATAAGTTAGAGTGTGGCTTGTTTTAGTCTGCTGTCAATTGAGGAATGTCCATGCAGACCCTGGGGGTCCACCTTGTCATTTATAGATGGGCTATGTTAGGACAGTGGCCAGGGAACCAAGCCTCATACACTCACGAATAAGTTAGAGCAATGACTTTGTGTAGTCTGCTTCCAACTGAGGAATGTCCATGCAGACCCTGGGTAGAGACATTGAATAGGCGTCCGGGATTAATGGATCTTGTCTGGGAGAATGTAGCAAGCCAATAATCTCGGGATTCTATTGGTAGGTAGTTTCTCGTATGATGAGGTCTTGATATAAGCTAGAGGTTTTGGGACACTCGAGATGAGAGCCTAGTTGAGATGTAGCAGTGAGGGAGAACGGTCGAGAGCAAAGCCGGACAGGAGTGGATAAGAGGACAGACATAAGAAGACAGTAACGAGATAGAGAGACAAACAAGACAGCCAGAGCAGAGCCAAGGTCTTGAATGTGAACAGTAGTGCAGATCATTAAAGTGAAGTCTAACCATCAACGTGTTGTAACGAGATTGTGCAGTAGGAGAGACAAGAGTAAACGAGGTTACCATTCACATAATATGGTAGTTAGAGAATAGAGAAGGCAGAAGGTTTCTCTCTTCAATATACATGACAGTTGAAGATGCATACGATATGATCACTTGTGTTCTGAATAAAATAGGCGTGTCCAGAAATGCTACACATGCCATAACAAAAAAAATTGCCATACCATTACTAGCGAAATGTAATAATTTCCTATTCCATCCATTGCAATTGTCACTCTTTACACAACATCCACAGCAATGCTCACTTCTCACACAACATCCTCAGCAACCGCTCCTGTCTCTCTCAATCCAAAAAAAAAATTGAACGTAATAATTTCCTGATCTATCCACAGCAACGGTCACTTTTCCCACAACATCCACAGCAACCGCTCCTGTCTCTCGCAGCTAACAAAATTACACAAACTTCTTTCTCTCACGTGGTATGTATACCACACACAACCACGGTCATACGTGGCTGGGAAAACTCGTGGGATTAATTGGGGGGGGGGGGGGGGGGAGGGGAACTAAAGGGAACTCCACTATCGCTCACTCACACAACATCGCAAACAGACCCAGAACAACATAATGTGATCTGACCGTGAAAAAGCCATAAAACCCTTCCATACTCAGCCCCAGGTACCCCAATATACTCAGCCTTAAACACCAAGAGATGCCCAGTTCTTGACACACTTAAACACCTTCAAATAAATCGTGGTGGGACTCGTCAGCCTTGGACGAACGCTCATGTTAGAGAAGGTGAGCTCCGATCAAAGCCGACAGGGGAATAACGGTGATCAACTGACCCGAGACGAACAAATATTGCTGTAAAAGTCGAATTAGTTGAAGCTCGTCAAATGCACCAAACCGCGACGCCTTAGTGGTACACATGAAGCAAACTAAAAACAAAAAGTTATTGTTTTATTATTTGACATGAACATTAAATACTAGGGCTGACCCGGGGGTGGGGTGTGGGGGGAGGGGGATGTTTTTATAATCCAGTACGGGTATTTTGAAAAAATAGCCGGTTGGGTCCAAGTGTTAAAAAAAGTTAACTTCTTTTTTTTATAATTTATCATAACAATAGTCCCACAGACAGTCCTACACCATAGCTGCCGGCATTTATACAATAGTCCTACAGACAGTCCTACACAATACCTGCCGGCATTTATACAATAGTCCTACAGACAGTCCTACATCATACCCGTGGCTCTTTTTTTATTACTGTGATATAGTAGTCGCCCCCCCCCACCCCCGGAAAGCTTTAACCTTTTTACCTCAGTTCAACCGTCACGCATGACGCTCGCTGCTTGATTACTTTTTTTTTTAAATCTCAGTGCTATTAATATAAAACGTGTTGAGTATGGGGACGGCCCGTTGGGTATAGGAAGCAGTCACACCAGAAGCGAAATATATTTAAGAGATAAAATAATATCATTTTGTCAAAAATCTGTTACTGAATGCTCCAAGAATAATGAATTATGTCTCGTAAATCTAAACCATTGCATTGTTTACATTCTCAGCTTATAAGTGACGCAGGATCTTGGACTCTGACCGAAGAAAGCGTCAAGCCATTTGAATCATCGACGTGGAGCTTGCAGAAAACGCTGGTCAAGATGAATAAAATGGACGTATGGCCCTTGTTTAAGGTTGAGGTGGTCAAAAGATGGAGAGAAGTGGGAAGCAGTACTCCAGAACACTTTATCGCCGTAAGCTGTTTGCGATTCTCGACTGGCTTGTTTAATGTATAATACCTTTCTAGCTGTTTGGTGTACTTGTAAATCTAAAATATTGTAAAAGTTTTGGTTTGGATCCTAAAACAACATTTGCAGAGATACGAGCTGACCGCAAGTCTCTGGTCAAGCCTTGCATGTTGTAGAGTTAAGAGACGATCGCATGTCTCTGGTCAAGCCTGGCATGTTGTAGAGTTAAGAGACGACCGCATGTCTCTGGTCAAGCCTTGCATGTTGTAGAGTTAAGAGACGACTGCATGTCTCTGGTCAAGCCTTGCATGTTGTAGAGTTAAGAGACGACCGCATGTCTCTGGACAAGCCTTGCATGTTGTAGAGATAAGAGCTGACCACAAGTCTCTGGTAAAGCCGTGCATGTTGTTTTTCCAATACTTTAAAACATTGAATCTTTGGCCAATTCAGCCGATTTTATTGGGTCTTGGTCTTAACACGGAAATTTGGGGGCGGGGGGGGGACATTTCATGTTGGAAAAATATATTTAAACTATTTATTAATTGATAAGCCTGACCAACATTATAATGACTGACCAGTGTCTTGTTCTTAGTTGAATAATCACGTCTATGTCTACTCGCTGCAGTCGCCAACCAGTTCAAATTATATTTGACATTTATATGAATGCTAAGACGTCATTAAATCTAATCTTGTTTAGTGTTCACGCCCAGTACATGGTAAGTCTAAGAATATACCAAATATTTTTGGGGTGGATCTAGAAATCAGTCAAAATGCTACGTTTTGAGACCAAGAAGGCTGGATGGGACCTGCATTCCACACTGTTCCATACCCCATAGAGAAACATCAGATGCCTTCCAACTATCGGCACACACCATGTGGAATACTGCTCTCAGGCCCATTCATAGGCATACGCTGACTACGCATCCGCGTAGGGCCCCGAAGGTGAGGGGGCCCCCGTGAGGTGTTTTCTCCTCAGCTGGAGGGAGCTCCACCCCCGGACCCCTCCCCTTCCTGGGCCCCCAACCTACGCTCCATGCTTAGGGCCTCCAAACTCCTAAGGACAGCCCTGCTGCTCTCCACAGCACCACCCGACACATTACTCATAAACTACAAAAGTAGTTCCTAAAATGTATAGGAACCGAAGCACTTCTTATAAATAAATAATGGTATATTTTTCCGCCTAGCGTTCATTTTTGGTCTCCGCGGAGCACAATCTTAGGCCAGTGAGCTGCGGAATCTTAAAAAATTTATATTTATTTCAGATAATAAACTAGTTCCCTATGTATGTTAACACTTATTTATGTATTCAACTCTAACTTCAAGTACACAAAGTAGCCTGATATTTGTAAAGCTTTAATGTGTATGTTGTGTAATGTAGCTCAATGTAGGGACACCGAGTTCGTTTGAAACTGGGATTGGCGGTGAAATTAAAGTTGAAGAGCTCGCTCACTTAACTGAAGCGCTTGGCGGAGACCCCTTGACAGTGAGACAGAAAATAGAACAGGTCTTGAATTTCTCAACGGAGCTAAAAAATGTATGCATTTTTACATCTTTAACAACAGCGTACCTTTACTTGTATACTTATTAATTTTTTTGAATATTTGCTTATCTTTACACTGATAATTATATGCATACCTTTACATCTCTGAATAAATATACAAGTAAACATTTATATCTCTAAATATATGTCATACCTGTAGATCTATAATTATACGACATACTTTTCAAATCTATAATGTTAAAGTCATACTATCTGTATGATTAGGTATAATCATAATTAATTTTTAATCATTCCCCCCTCTGCTTTTGCTACTATTGAAACTTCAACTTAAAAACTAAATTGAGCTAATAATTAAATATCCCCTAAAAATAAAGTTTTCTTTCAATCCTTGATGAAATGTTATAGAGAGCAATGGGGTGGGGAGAAAATTTGAAGACAAAATAAAACATGCATACAAGTAGCGAACTTTAGAAGAATCGCAATTTGTAGTTTTACAAAAATATATTAAAAAAATAATAATTTAAAAATGACCCCTCCCCCAAAAGCTGGCAACCGCACATTTTTTTTTCATATACCTGAACTATTTTAATATTCTAGCGAACCACCAGCTTTTGCATCGCAGATCTATTTCACCAACTATTTCCCCAACAAAAGAAAATATTATGCAACAATTGCTCTTGCGATATTATTGTAAAAAAACGAATTTCACTATTGGGATTTTTATGTTATCTTCCCATCAAAAACTAAATTTAAGCTTTTAAGGGTGGGAGGGGGCTGAAAATTTGAAAGAATATGTCGTCATCGGCGACGAGCCTATGTGCCAAGTTTCATCTCGATAGGTTGACGGGAAGTAACTCAATTAACCGTCCGAAAAGGTTGATGTGCAATCACTGATTCATCCGGTTCCAGTTGAAATCCACCAGATTAGAAATGTGGGTATCTTTCTGATGAAGAAGTTATCACAAAATTGGAGGTTAATGTCCTATGGAGTCAGATTACATTTGCATGTTTAATGGTTGGTAAGAGAAAGAGTGGTTTGACTAATAAACGAATAAATTAGACAAGAGACTTAATTCATCGGAGGAATTTGACACATATCATTTATAGTTAAATAATTCTCCGAAATTCAGGCTCAACGTGGACCTTTCCCAAGAATGTACGACTTTCACCCAATTTACCTCATTTCGATAAAGAGTTTACAGATTAAACTAGGCTCTTGGGTAAGTTTTTAAATACATCATCAATTAGTGTTGTCTTTGTAGAAATTCTTTAAGCGTCTAGTATGTTTAAAGCTACAGTTTAACTGCTTTCAATTTCCACACAATTGATTCTTTTGCCACTATCCAAAGTACACAATCAGTTAAAAGAGTTCCATCCTTATCAGTCATGTACTTACATGATGCTCTTAGTAATGATACTTGATGATATGTAGGTCATTGTGAAAATTGGTGTATATGTTTTTGGAAAGATGTGTTCCTAATATCGCGTAGGGTGGAAGAAACGCATTTAGCGTTCCGGGAAATGCCGTGATCTGGGTAGTTCAAGGAACGTGTTTGGGATGTGAAAAGGTTTTAATGAGATGGAGCGTGTTGCTTGTGTTCCGTCGGAAATAACATTGCGACCCTACGCGGGGGACGTACGGCGCCTCTTAAGAACGCCCATTCAGACATGAGTCTGCTCTTAGAACAGGGACACAGTTTGGGATTTCGATTTTCCGAAAACTTCTCTCCGTGGTTCTTAAACCACCCACTTGACGCCCCCCCCCCCCCCCCCTCAAAACCAATGTCCGGTACGACTGCGTAGTATTATTTACTCTTATCTTAGTCAAAACTAATGTCCGGTACGACTGGGTAGTCCTTCTCTAAACACCAAAACAATGCAGTTTAAAAAAATCTCTGCATTAACCTTTTGGGGTGAAATGTATCATGTGATGAATCACTACTAGCTCTTGTCTAGTGTTATGTACTTTATCAGGCTTAACAAATTTAACAAGACTTTTTTTGAATTTAGCTCATTAGAGGAACCATGTATATAAAATAAAGAAACAAGCTCTCTGTCCGGTCTCCACACATTTCACTAGCCCTAAACATGATTGGTATCTCAGACATCGTAGTTACTGGTATACTGTATACTAGTAGCACACCAGATATGATATACAGGGAGAATAAATGAATAACACGATTTGGTACGTTGTCTCCATATGGAATAAACCAAATCCACAATTTTACCTAGCTGCCATATCTTTTTCCTGTTTTGTTTTTACAATTTTGCTCAAATCACTTCCTTTACACTTTTCTTTACTTTGCTTCTGTCTGGTTTTTTTCACCCACTCCTATTTTTTCACCCACTCCTATTTTTTCACCCACTCCTATTTTTTCACCCACTCCTATTTTTTCACCCACTCCTATTTTTTCACCCACTCCTATTTTTTCACCCACTCCTATTTTTTCACCCACTCCTATTTTTTCACCCACTCCTATTTTTTCACCCACTCCTATTTTTTCACCCACTCCTATTTTTTCACCCACCCCTATTTTTTCACCCACTCCTATTTTTTCACCCACTCCTATTTTTTCACCCACTCCTATTTTTTCACTCCCCTATTTTAGGTAGGATATCTGTATATATATATGTATTATATACATTTAATTTATACTTATTTGTCTTTTTTTTGTACTGATTAAGGCATGTGCCGAAACGTATACTTTTGTACTCTGTAAAATTATCTTTAAAGCTTACCTTATATTGTTATATTGACAAAAATTGTTGGTGTCTAAGTAATCTGTTTCTTGTGTGGCAAGGTAATAATTTAACACATGCCCTGAGTGTCACTGGGACAGATGTGAGTAGACCACACACCTTGAGTGTCACTGAAGCAGATGTGGGTAGAGCCCAGGCTTCGAGTGCCACTTGACAGATGTGGGCAGACCACATGCCTTGAGTGCCACCAGACAGATGTAGGAAAACATCAGGTTATATCATAACACGTACAAAATGAGTTTAAAAGAAATACGAACCTGTGACCTGCGCTTGACCAACACGTGACCAATCCTCTCTTTGTATCTGTTAGTATGACGGCGGTTCACACATTATGAAGACATTTTATTCTGTGTGTTGGCACTAGTTCTTAAAACAGACATGTCTATGCGAATATCTGAACTTCAGTTGAGAGGGTCTACTTGAGAGAGCTTACTTGAGAGACCCTACTTGAGAGAGCCTACTTTCGATGGCCTATTAGAGAGAGCCTGCTTAAGAGGGGCTACTTGAGCGGGCCTACTTTAGAGCCTACTTGAGAGAGACTACTTTGAGGGCCTATTGGAGAGGGCCTAATTGAGAGAGCTTACATGAGAGACCCTACTTGAGAGAGCCTACTTTCGATGGCCTATTAGAGAGAGCCTGCTTGAGAGGGGCTACTTGAGAGCCTACTTGAGAGAGACTACTTTGAGGGCCTATTAGAGAGAGACTGCTTGAGAGGGGCTACTTGAGAGGGCCTACTTG